AAGTAATAAACGAACGAATCTACAAAATAATATACACAAGAAATATAATCATTTAAATGTGAAATGCATGTAACTAACAAAAATGAGTCAACAAATTATATTGATTACTAACCGTAGCACCAATGGCGATAAACAGCAACTCAAAGCGTCCATCTCTATCTGTTTGATATGAGTTACCGACCAGGATTTTTCAGCTTTAAATGTGACAATAAGCGGCAGTTGGGCAAACGATGCTTCTGGCGACCCCCTCAACAATTCCAAGGCAACATTGGCTCTCCAAGCTTGAGAATATGATATACTAATCTTGAACCGAGCATTCATGTCAGTCATAATTCATGTCCCCGATATACCCTGCCATTCAAAAACATTAACTCAGCCAGAAAACCACCAACACCTTTTGTTTGCCTGTCTATGGTGAGGAAAAACTTGGGTTCTTGAACATGTATGTTTATCAATAAAAGTCCTAACTTGAAACATTTTGCAATCTTTTATCTCTTTGCAATCATACGCCACGTACAGTTTTTGTCAATCATACACCTGTTTCGAAACGATCTTTGCTTGATTTGTTAACTTTTAGTGATAGCCATCTTCCACACATTTCGTATATAAAGCTATCTTCAAGTCTTCCTTTGTATCAAAACAATCATCTTTCTTGATACGAATAACTTTGTGTAACAATCAACTGCTTTCTTATCAACTCTTCTTCGGTATCTGAAGTAATTTTGGCATATTCCAGTTATACGCCGTGGCATTTTCTTTCTTCGGGGACTTTTCTTCTTCTTTTCTTCAGGATTATATGAATTACAGAATGGATGTTCAACATGTTCATTCACAGTCGTAACTTCCTCCTCATTATATCCGTGTATTGACCAATATCAAAGTCCGGATATTGACCAAGACCAAATTTCGACGACTAGTACTCACAATTTTTTGTGGTCATCATCGTCTAACTGGTCAATACGAAAACCGGAATTTGGTGTGAAAGTTGATTGGATTTGGATTAGAGAAAGGTTGTGGGTTTTGAGAAAAACTTAGTTTACTACCCACCCGCTACTGACCCAACAATACTACTTCTAGGTTCAACAACATACAATGTAACATCATCTTGTGAAACACTAATGTAAGCAATGAATCGTTCAACATCTTCATTGTCGGTTAACAAATAAACTTTACCATTTCTCTGATAAGATAGCCTAAATCCACTTAGGGGCTCTAAATTCAATTTATTTGAAACACGTAGCATTAGAGTTTCATAAGTTAACTTTTGTAAAGACAATTTTAGTTGAAGATTTATGGGTAAAGGCATATATTGTAAAACACCATTAACATTATCCCATGACCCTCCAAAACACAAATCTATCCAAACATGATCAACATTAGATGATTTCATGGTTGTAACTAAACAAACGAGATGCGAAACTAAGACCTGTTGCCGGATGGGAAGGATGTCGTTGGATATAGGAACGGATGTCGCCGGAGAGTGATAGATGGAGATGGAATGAGTTGCGATTTAGGGATTTAGTTTATGATTTCAGTGTTATATACCCAAAATTTCAGTGTTGTGATTTACAGATTCTCGTTGCGATTTACGGATTATCGTTGCGATTTACAGATTCTCGTTGCGATTTACGGATTATCGTTGCGATTTACGGATACGCGTTGCGATTTACGGATTATCGTTGCGATTTACGGATACGCGTTGCGATTTACGGATACGCATTGCGATTTACGGATACGCGTTGCGATTTACGGATACGTTGCGGTTTACGGATACGCGTTGCGATTTACGGATACGCGTTGCGATATACGGATACGCATTGCGATTTACCCATACGCGTTGCGATTTACGGATACACGTTGCGATTTACGGATACGCGTTGCGATTTATGTGTTCGCGTTGCGATTTTCATATTCGCGTTGCGATTATGGAAAATCGCAATGCGAATTTGTACTATCGCATCGCGATTTTCAAGAATCGCGTTGCGATTCTGGAAACTGATTTGCGATTCTGGGGATCGCGTTGCGATTTTTATTTCGCGTTGCGATTTTGTTGGTCATTTTGGCAAATCCAAAAAAAGTTGGTTAAAATCGTATATTATAACTTTTTTTTGGTCACTGAGGCGATTTTCTCATATAAAAATTACAAAAGTTATATGAATTCAATTAAGAAAGCAAAATCTTTTCTCTATGAATGTGTAAATATAAATCATTTGGCTCGTACATGTCAGACGTCAAAGTATCTTGTGGAACTTTATTAACAATCATTAAACGATATTGAAAAATAAAATAAAATTCATTTCTAAGAATGACAAAGATGGTTATTACATTATTGGTCCAACTCAATTGGAAGTCAATGATTTCTTTACCCCAAAAGGGAATAATTGTTATTTTTAAGAGTAAACTACAAGTTTAGTACCAAAACATCAATTTTTTCATTTTAGTACCTAAACTTTTATTTGTTTCAAAATTATACCTAACATTTACTTTTTATTTCATTTTAATACCCCGCCGTTAAAAACTTTACATAAATTCTACACAAAACATTTTTATGGGTAAATTACATCATTCATCACTTAACTATCTTCTCACTCTATTTTGGTCACTAAAGTTGAAAAATTTTCAATTTAAATATTCAACTTTCAAATTGCTCATCTAGTTTATTTTATTAATAATTTTTGTGACATGATATTTTTTATTATTATTTTATTAATATATAATGAAAACAAAAAATTTAAAATTGAAAGTTAGAATGATTAAATTAGAAGTAATTTGAAAGTTACGTAATTAAATTAAAAATAAATAAATTTCAAATACCAAAATAGGAGTGAGAAGATAGTTGAGTGACAAATGATGTAATTAACCATAAAAAGTGTCATGGTGTAACAATTCCACTAAATTTTTAACAGTAAGGTACCAAAACGAAACAAAAAGTAAACGTTAGATATGATTTTGAAACAAATGAAAGTTTAGGTACTAAACCGAAATAAAACTGATAGCTTAGGTACTAAACTTGTAGTTTATCCTAAGATTAAATTATATGATAAACCAAAAGTTTACAAGTTCAAACATTTTAATTAGTTGGCATGATTGATTAGACCATCTCAATCACTAATGATGTGGAAAATTTTATATTGAGGTTTACATTAACATTAATTAAAAGAACGCAAGCTTTTTTTTCACAAAAGGGATTTAAAATTTCACTAGTTCAAGTTGAGACTAAATATTTTGTATATCTTATTGAAATATGAGTCCATTTATTCACAATGTGAAAAGCTTTGATATGATTTCAACAGATGCATTTACAATATAAATTACATATATGCTATCAACTCACAACCTGTAATTTGTTTCTTTGAACAATTAGAAAAGGCAAAGTTTTAGATTATACAATTAAGACTTTTCGTCTTGCTAAAATTAATGAGTTTATATTTCATATTTTTAATATATTATATATTCATTGAATAACTATTATAAAGCATATTGTTTATGAACAAACAAAAATGATTGATTGCCTCCTTTTAATAACTAAACTATGAGAACAAAACTTTTGGTATCTATATGACAATTTGCATATATAACTAATCTGAATTATGCCAATAAATTATCACAAGTTCTCCCAATAGCAAATGATTTTTGGTCTCATTTTAAAATTTTTGAGGGTGCAATAACGCACAAAGATGAGTCCCCATAAGGGATTGAGAATATATATTAGGTTTGAATTTCCTTTAATACTGAAAGATCTTAAGCCTTTTACGAGAAAAATATTTACGACTCGATTTATTGACTGTCATTTTAATGAATCAATTTTTTCAACATTGGGGAACAAAATAAACAGCCGAAAAATAAATAAGTTAGAATGAATATCATTATCTTATTTTGATCTACATACCCAATTATATGAACTGAAAGTTCAAAGGATAATTCATTTACAAAAATTAACAAATCAAATTCCAGATGTTCTTACTGACCTTAAAGGAGTGACTAAGTCACATATACCAACTGCAACTGCTCAAATTAAAATTGATGTTCCAAATGAACAAACTCTAGTTGCTAATGAGTCCCTAGCACGCTTAAAGCGTGGTAGACCAGTAAGTTTCAAAGATAAAAATCCTTGAAAAAGAAAAAGAGATATCTAATGATGGTTCAATCGAAGAATTAATAAAATTTGAAAAGTCTGTAGAAGATATTAAAGTATCTCTAGAAAAGACATTTGGCATAACTCAAGCTCCTAATAATAATGAAAATGTCTCAATAAATTATGTCATGTCTAGTAATAAGTAGAATCAAAATTAAATTGACGTCGATGATATTTTTGCATGCAATTTTCAACATTGGATTGTGTCATTACAGAGATCTTTAATGGTGTGTTCATGAAGGAGGTAAATACGCGTTGTACTCTGTTTTTTATCCATGATTTTGTCCTACTGAGTTTTCCTGAAAATATTTTAATTAGGCATCATGTCATGCGTATTTAAGAATGGTGTACTTTTTTCCCTTCATTGGATTTTATCCCTCAGAATTTTTCTAATAAGGTTTTAACGAGACATATTTTACTGATGAGCATCCAAGGGAGAGTGCTATAAATAACATTTATTAAAGTGGATGTTCATTCCATTAATGTTTCACTTTTCCTAATTGATGTACATTAACGTATAAAGGTTCAATATGGAACCTATAAAAGGGATGCATGTATAAGCTTATAATATGAGCAATAAAAGATTACTATTCACTCTCACATTGTATTCTATATTAATATATAATTTTATAACATAAATAACATAATAAATAATTGATAAATAGAAATAAATGATTATATACCACAATTTTTATAATATCGAAGTGTGATAAAACCTTTAAGCTTGCAATAATATTTTAATACATGCTTGAAAAAGAATCATAGGAGACAGTCTAAACCGAGCCAGAAATTAAGGGAAACAATGAAATCACCAAACATTAAATTGCAATAGACCATCTAAAAAGAAAGACTTGAAAATTTTTAAACTTCTTTATCTACAACGGTCAATAGAAGTATAATCTCTTAAGAAACATGAAAGAACTAAAAGAGGTTGAGAAATAGGAAAAACTATAAAGAAAATAAGAACAGCTTTTAATGTTTAGAAGTTCAAAATAGCTACTGCTGTAATTGTATGATCTATAGAACTTTGAAAACTAGGGTTTCATTTAGGCCTTACCAGGTAGGATGCCCATATCTCATCAGCAGGAGGAGGTGGCTGAACCCAGTTGCCTGGTATGCGGCTGCAGGCAAGTTGTATAATAAGTCAGCTATTCAAATGTTCTTATGCTCGTGCTTTATGTTGCATCCTAAAGCAGCTAGCAGTCTACAATCATATGCAAGTTTTTCTAGCAATGCAGAATCAGATAGCAGTTTACCATAAAGGGCAGATTGATGAAAAAGTGGTTGTACTGAGTAGAATCTTTACAGATGTAAAAAACAATTACAGCGATTATAACACCAAAAGTGAGGAGGAATTAGGGGAACTGCATATGTATACGATTAATGAAGTGCATCGCAGAAAAGGCTTGCTATACTTACCTTCCTCCAGGTCTGATATAAGCATCCCATGTCCTTCTAACCTGCATGTGAAAATTTAATGGGGAATTGAGTACGATAATGCAGCTGAATACAGATGTTTGCATATTCTTAAACCCATAAATAATGTATCATTCATGCAAGTGGAAAAAGAAAAGCAAATCCTGGTAATTGCGTAAGCCTCTTGAAATAAAAACATGGTGCCATGCACCAAACATCTAGACTCTGAAGAGAAGTAGCTGAACATGCCTCGATGAGTGTGCCCATATCAGAATTGCTTCCATGGTAATAGTGATAGAACTCGATCGGTTAATTGGTCAAAGAATCATATGCCCCAGAATAACCATGTCCCTCTACTATACTTTTGCCAGATTCCTTAACAGTGACTGCAGTAGAGTCCTTTTCATCCTCATTTGGTGCTATTTGATCTTTGCTCTCATTGTTTTCAGGCTGATTGCTGATAAGATCTTTTGAGATGGGCCTTTGAGTCTGAGTTGCCTTCCTAGTTTCCTCGGCAGTTGCAATGGCATCTTTAGCAGCATCTGTATCAGCTGCAGCCAAAGCTTGTCTCTCCTCTTCCTCAACTGCAGCTCGAACTTTCTCAAGAAACTTGTCATCTTCCTCTGGGAGAAAATGGCCTGCACAAGTCGGAAGCAACCTTAAAATTTCAGTAGAATCTAGGACAGTATAAATCTTTTGACATCACAGATATATAAACACTGTATTTCCCACACAGCAGGGTTCCTTGTTTTAATCATGTAAACTTAAGGGATTTTTTCCATGTGAAAGTTTCTCTTTACATACTATATTTTCCATGGACATTTCTAAAGGTATTCAATTCTCAGTTTAATATATCAACTACAAAGTGCAAACTTAAACAGACTAACATGCACCCCTAGGGAAAAAAAGATAGCATCTATAATGAATCTGCATATCAATTGCCGGCTTTAGAAGCTAAAGTCAATCTTACATGTTTTCACTTTGATGCTAGTTGAATAATGAAAAACAAAAGAATCCAAATATCCAATCACAAGTCACAGAAGCTAATTTACTCTAACAAATTAGCTAGGTTAATTTTGTTATAGTACCCTGTTTCGTCAATTTCTGGATCCTCATGGAGCGCAACTCTTGCAACTTCTCCACCATCAGAACTAGCTCAAGCTGACACATAAGACATACTATAAGAATAAACCAAAGGAAATGAATGAAATAACAAAAAAAGAAAGAAAAGAAAACCCTGAAATTAGCATTTTTCTAATGTTAACCTTGCTAGAGAATACAAATTAAGAGATAACCTACAAAAGGCATTGTATCAAAAGTACATAGGATGAGCATCAAAAGGCATTTTTAAACAAAGTGTTATGCAGCTATCAAATTGTAAAGTAGACAATATGAGCATAAACTAATTGCAGAGAAGAAAGAAACTTCTCGTGTTGATGGTGAGAAGGAAATAGTGACATACGAACATATCAGAATGCCTGAACACTTCCCATGCTTCTTCTTATCATAAGATTCTTGTACATATGAAACAAAGTGTAAAACAGTTTAACAAGTCTACAAAGGTATCAACTAAGTTAAATTACTAATTAATTTTGTGCCTCGAGTCAGAAAACAGAAACAAGAAAGAAAAAGAGTGCTCTAACATTTTGAAAGTGTTTACCTCAGATTCTAGTCTCCTTTTTTCTTCCTTGGCTTTAAGCTTTGCTATTTCCTTCATCTTTTCCACCTGGATATCAACTTAATAGTCATTACCAAGTGAAGAAAGTTTACAACAATGAAAGAAAGACAATGGAAAAATCAATTAAAATCAGTCGTACGTTCATAGCAATAAAACCCTTAAAAAACACAAAAAGACAGTAGTACCTTGCGGCTTGCAACGTCCTTGGCAATCTCCCTGGCTCTCCATTCATCAGCTTCTCGATCAGCTTGATCAAATCGTTCATGCTCCTAGCAACCATAATAAGCATAAAATATTAGCCATATACAATACAGGCCAGTAGGGGGAAATAGCAAGATAAGGAGAAAGCTTACAATGACAAACCAAGAAAACAACCTTAGCAAGCGATTCTGCAATTCGTTTTCGCTTCCTTTTCCTCCAAAGTTTATTCCTTTTATACTTCTTAATTTTATTGGTCAGTTTAGCTACAGCTGATTTCTCCTCCCACCGGGTCGCTTCATCCGAGACATATCTGAAGGGCTCTAACTGAGCTCTTAGCTTTGACATCAAAGCATTCGCTGCTTCCATAGAAAGTAATTCTTGAGTTTCCAAGTCAATCCCCCTATCTTCCAGATACTTCAAGAACTCGGAAACAGAAGGGTCCATCGACCCATTTTTTATCATCGTCAGTACCTCCAGCTCCTTTTGCCTATGGAACCATTGAGTTTTACTCGCAGGTAAATAAAATAAAAAAGTATACGGCATGGATAGCTGAAATGAGTAAATCATATAATTAAAACAGAAGTAACGTACACCGCATTTGCAAGATTGAGAGTATCTTGCAATTCACAAAGGCGATCACGCACATTTCTGGTCGCCCAAAATGTACTCGTATTCGGTGGTTCCGGCGGTAACATTGGGAACCAATGTGGCGGCGGCGCGTATTGGAAGTGAGCCGGATTCATTGCTAACTATAATTAATTAATTCAAAAAGAATAATTAAAAAACGGAATCAATGAATAGAGAGAGATTCATGATTTATAAGAGAGAGCCTAGAAATTTTCTTCAAATTAGATGACATGCTAAATAAGAAATTAGTTCGTTTACGGAAAAGAATGAATGAGAAAGAATATGAAAGCTCGTACCTTTTTGAAGAATTATTACCTTCAAAACCCTAGCACAGTAAAGCCTAAGATGACGATAAAAGTAACTGGATCCGGAGAAGAAACAAACATTTGAAGGGATTCAAGTATGGATTTGTGATGCGCACGAGATAGGTTGAGTCGGGTTTTCAATTAATTCATTTCGATCCGAAAATTATATATTATCTATCTGATTTGAACTCGATTTGAAATATATATATCTTTCACCCAAGTTGAATTCGAATATTTTTTTAAGATAAAACCCGAGTCCAACCGAAATAATATATTTATAACATATATTATCTTTATTTAATAGAAAATAAGGAATTAATTAAAAAATAATATATAAAGAGGTATTTTTGTAATTATCTTTATATATAAGGAAAATCATATTTTTTTCGGGTCGGGACGGATTAAATATTTTTCACCCTAAACCCGACCTAACTTAAACATAATCTCTAAACAATCTAATCCAACTTGACCCAAATTCGAAATTTTAAATAAAAACTTAACCCAATAAAATTCGATCGGGTCAAAATCCATGTTAAAAGTATTGTGTCCCAGTTCGAACGCGGGGAATTTAATAGTTGCGGCTTAAAATGGAAAATACAAGTGCCTGCCAACTGTTTGTGGAAATGTTTGGACCATTTACGCAATAACTGTTGAAATTTCCTTCTCACGAAGCTTTATCTGAAGCGTGTAGTGTGTTTTGATTGCTTTTTTTCTGGTTGAGCTGCAAGTTGTAAACTCGATTGCTTAGAAATTTCTCGTTAGGAGGTGATAGAAAGTGAAGTTCCTACTCTTTTTGTTCAGAACATCCCTACTAGTTATCACTGGAGTGGTTTAAGACAATTGTTTGGCAGGTATGGTATTGTGGTGAGTTCTTACATAGCAAGGAAGCTTGACAGAACAGGGAAGCGTTTTGGATTCGTTAGATTTTCCACAAAAGAATATGCTGATCGAGCAGTTAGAAGTCTAAATGGAGCTTTGATAGTTGGATATTGCTTATCAGTCAGAGAAGCTCGTTTTAGTATTTTGAGCAAAAGCAGAAAACTGTTAAACTCTTCACCATCCAATAATGCAACCGTGATTGTCCAAGATAAGAACAGCTCGTCTGGGGTTAGTGCAGAGAAGAAATCAATTAGGAGCAGGGTGAATGATGCCTATTCGGAGTTTTCGGTTTTCGTTAATTTTGTCAGTAAAAGGATTCGTGTTCCTACTCTTATGGAAGCATTTAAGGTTTATGGGGATGTAACAGACGTGTTTATTGCGTATAATAACAGGAGAAGGTTTTTAGCTGGATCAACTTTCGCTTTTGTCAGGTATAGAAGCAGAATTGAAGCGAATAAAGCGGTAAAGGAAGCGGATGGTAGGGTATTGGATGGATTTAAGATCAGAGTTTTCCATGATAAATCGTCTGAGAGCAAAAGAAAATGGGCAGATGTTGGAAAAAGGGCGAAAAAGGTATGGATGCCTGCTTTTAGAGATGGTAGGTCCTTTAAAGAAGCTCTGGGAGGTTTTCAGGCTGAACGTGGTGAGAAACAACAGATGGTAGAAGCTCAGCAGGTTGGCACCTCCAGTTGTCCTGAAGGTGTCCTGCATATTAATGTTGTTGATGATTGTGAGGTAAGTGCTCTACCTTTTCCTTCTGCTGATTTAAGGAATTTGATAATTCCAAAGAAGGAGGTATCGTGGAGAGAATTATGTTTAGTGGGAAAAATAAAAAAGAGTTTTAATGAAAATATTATTCTAACAGCTTTTAGAGCTGAAGGGTTGGATATTAAGGTGAGTATTTGGCATGATCTTCTGATGATTATTCATTTCAAGAATAAAAATGATCGTCAGGTATGTTGGCTAAAAAGAGATGAATGGATTAGCTCTTGGTTTGATGAGCTTGAACTTTTGGAAGGTTATGAAAATAGAGTTAAAGTTAAAGTTTGGGTTACTCTAAAGGATGTTCCTCCTTCGGTCTGGAGTGAGAGTTTTTTCAGGGGCATTGGTAGTTTGTGGGGCAGAGTTCTTCAAATTGATAAAGAAACCACTGACCGTGAAAGATTGATATAGCAAGAGTGTACTAGAATGCAATCTGAATCTTCGGTTCCTGGAAATATCTCCATTTATGCAATGGTTGCATTTACTGCATTAAAATTCTTACTGAATTGCAGGAAGAAGATAGAGAATTCATGGTACCATGGTGGGGGGTGGAGTTTGGCAAGTCGATGTAGAAGAAAAATCAATTGTCCAGCTCGTGAAATCGAAAATGAAGTAGGTGTTGGTCTCGGAGGAAGCCTGAGCGTGGAGCAGCAGGCAAATTCGGTTAATCAGGAATTGCAAATGACCGTGGCATCTCTGAAGGTGTTTGTTGTATGCAGAATCAATGGTGGAACTATCAGATGCAGTTGAAGATGGGTGGCATGAAGTTCCAATTATGGCATTTTCTGGTTAGCAGTTAACCTATTGATGAGAGTTTGAATTATTGGAAATCAATAGGGATGCTGAATTGAATTGGTCGACTCAAACCATTTCGAATAGTTCGAGGTTGCTAGATGTACCTATAGAACAGTGTCTTCATTGTTAGAAAAGGAGGAGGTTAATTCCGCTCGGATACGCGGATACAAAATGGGGGGGCGCTATAACGAGGTTCAATGATCCAGTTATTCCCGATGTGGTAAATTGTTCTAAATCGACTTCTAGACGGGTGAGTCGGGTTAGTCTCAAAACATCCACGAGATTTATCAATGCGAAAAGGAGAAAGCAACGCACTAAGGGACGGCATGAAAGACGAAATATAAGAGGTAGTTCACGCACAATGCTCCTATAGGTGATGAATATCTTGGTGGAGAGAAGAGTGTTCCTAATGAAGCGGAGAAGACAATAGAGATTGCCGAAGCTTTGGGGAGAGTTTCAGGGCCAAGAAGGGAGATTCTACAGAGACTGGAATCGATTGAGTAAAGGGGTTAGTCTTGTTTCTGGGTGTGTGCTGATGTTGTGTGCGCTTTATTTATATGGAACATAATTTAGTTGCTCTTTCTTGGAACGACGTAGATTGGGGAAATTTGAAAAGATAAGAGACGTTAGTAGGGTTATTGATTTAATAAAGTGAATGTGATGATGCTCCAGGAAACTAAGGTCTCTGATATGAATGGTTTCCTTCAAAGAAGATTAATTGGTAATTTTGATAGGGAGCTAGCGTTTGCGCCTGCTGAAGGGGCTTCGGGTGGCCTTATTTCCGTGTGGGATAGAAATGTGTTTGAGGTGAGTAACACTATTGTCTCTAGGCGAATGAATGCTCTCAAGGCAGGTTAGTCTTTAATAACATGATGGTAGGACTTATTAATGTCTATGGGCGAATGATCAAGCTGAGAGGAGGGATTTTTTCGACCATCTGAATGTTGTTATTTCTGTTGGAATATTCCTGTGATAGTGGGAGGTGATTTCAACGCTTTAGGAAGGATTCAGAAAGATTAGGGGTTCATTCTCAACCGTCTGCGACAAGGATTTTGATGAATTTATTGAGGTTGTGAGCTGATTGAGGTCCTAATATGGGCAGTCTATACATGGTACAGAGGTGGTGGGAATGTGGTAGCGAGTAGGCTGGACAGATTTCTGTTATCAACAGAAATTTACAGTATGTTTCCTCAATTGGTTCAAGATACACTTCCTAGGGGATTATCTGATCATAAACCGGTTGTTCTGAAAGAGAGGAGGTTAATGAGGTTCGCTAGACCTTTTAAATGGTTTAATCATTGGGCTGATGACTCTATTTTAGCCAAAACAATCAGTGATTTATGTGAAGCGAATCGAGGTAAAGGAATGAATAAAATTCTGCTGATGGTAAAGAACGCGACAAAGGAAAGAGAGGAGCACAAAGAGAAAATAAAACTCGGAATCTGTAGAAGAAATTGGGAAAAAAATTGATTCATTAGAAGAAAGCTCACTTTTGGATCCTACCAATACTCAAATCCAGATGGAGATTACATTGTTGAAGGCTAGACTGTGGAATATTAGGAGGAAGGAAGAACGTGAATGGCTACAAAAATCTAGGCTCAGGTGGTTTAAAGAGGGTGATAAAAATACTAAATTTTTCCATCTCTCGGCAGTATCAAGGGGGGCGAAAAAATCAGATCACAAGGATGAAAGTTCAGAATTCTCTTTTTAAGACACATGTTGGTATTCAACAAGCGTTTGTTAATCATTTCCGCGCTGGTTATAATGAGATGAAAACAATTCCACTGAAGAGATTTGATATTCCTCTCAAGAGGTTAAATGCGGCAACCAGAAGGATCGTAGAAAGCCCATGTTCGGAAGAGGAGGTTTGGCTTACAATTAAATCATCGGATGGATCAAGAGCGCCAGGTCCGGATGGGTTCAATCTAGATTTTTTTAAGAGATTCTGGAAGTATCTTAAAGGTGAAATTATGAAGTTTATGGAGGATTTTTTCTGGGGAAGAGTGGAAGACTTTTCTTTTAATAAATCTTTTATTGCGCTAATTTCGAAGAAAGCAGAGGCAATTTGTCCTGACGATTTCAGACCAATCTCATTGGTAGGTAGTTTGTATAAGATTGTAGCTCGTGTATTGGCAAAAAGAATGGGTAGTTGTCTTCATGAAGTGATTGGAGAAAACCAGTTCGCGTTTTTTGCTGGCAAACAGATAGTCGATTGTAGTTTGATAGCAAATGAAGTCATTGATGGGCTGTTTAAAAACAAAAAAGGAGCAGTGTTGATCAAGGCAGATTTCAGTAAAGCTTATGATACGGTTGACTGGTGGTTTCTCAATTTGATCCTGAAGAAAATGGGTTTCGGCAGAAGATGGAGAAAATGGGTTAATTCGTGTATCTCAACTCCTTCGATTGTAGTATTAGTTAATGGATGTCCGTCAAAGAGCTTTTCTATGAAGAGGGGATTAAGACAAGGCTGTCCGTTGTCGCCGTTGCTTTTTAATATTGTTGGCGAAGCTCTCAGTGGTATAATAAAGAAGGCGACGGACATAGGTTTATGTAGTGGGGTGGCAGTAGGGAATGGTGGCGTTGTTTTATCACATATCCAATTTGCAGATGATCTG